CTAGTCATAGTAGCCAGATAGGCAAGAACCTTTAGATTAGAAGTCTCAAAGGTATTACTAATTAGGTTGTCAGAACGAACTGAAGAAAAAAAATATTGGATTGATCTGATATACCAATAGACTAATTGTAGTTCTATACAGGTTATCTGATTGGAAGTTTGGTAAAAAGACAGAAAAAAAGACAGGAATATACTAAAGTATTGGGATTATGCTATGAAGTAGATACTGGGATCTAAGTGAACTCTACAAGTACATAGTAATTTAATAATTAAGTTTTGATCACAAGTGTTGATTCTGTCATAATGATATCTAGGTTAGTTATAAAAATAACTACAGAAGGTTCTGGAAGGTTTACCTTAAAGATAAATTAGTTTTAAGATTAAGATAATAATTTGGATATTTGGATATATTCTAGTGAGTTAATACAGGTTACAAGTTCAGAGAGTTTAAATTGGAACACCCAAGCAAGAATATTAGGTATAGCAATTGATAGAAAACTTTTGGGTAGACTTCTTAAATAGGTAATTTAAAAAAGTTATATATGTAGCCAATTGTATATTCTCCTGTAATAGATTATTGGATCATAATACCAATAAGTGATTAATAAAAATCAAAAGATCAAAGAGGTCACTTTTTTAAAAAAAAAAAAAAAGTTAGTACTAAAGAAAGTTTTTTTAAAAAAATTTAGTAAGTTGAAATAATTAAATAGAAAAAAAAATAAAAATAATTAAGTTTTTTTATTTAAGACAAAAAGAAAAACAAAGCTAAAATATCCAAAGATAATACAAATACAATAACAAATCAGTTTTACTAAAACACATTCTGGTATTTAACATTAGTGTTTTGTATAATATAAACAAATATATAATAATAAATAAAATACAATTATTCAAATATTAAATTAATGTTAACATATATAATTTTCTTTCTAATAATTACCTGGACCAAGTTGGTACTAAAAGTAGATTAAAGACTCTGACTCCAAAATGAATAATATTCTTAGTTTTATATTAAGTAAACTTGCTGTTAACAAAGCTCAAGTATGTAATACATCAAGAAGTAGGTAAAACTTAAGTGGTTCTTGTCTTGGGTTAAGTTTTTTGTTTGATAAAGTTCTTTGCATATTTAGGGTCCAAACTGAAAGAATATTTTGGAAATAAATAGAAACAAAATCAGTTCTCTGGTTAAGAATATTAGAAATAGAAGAAAAAGAAAAACAACTAAAAAAACTTTTCTTAACTTGGACCCTTACAATAATGATATACCTTCTTTTTATTTTTTTTTTGTTTTCTTTTTTTTAAAAAATAAGGATTTGGCTCACTCCTATTAAAAGATCAACATTGTGTATCATTTTTTTTTGCAGTTTGAATATAGCAAATAAGAAACACAACAAACATATAAATCAACCAATTATGTGAAGCAGATCAGAAAAGGATTTAATTTAAAAAGACCAAAAATATATTGAGATATGCATATATTCTGAGGTCATGTGTATAATATTTTTAAAAAAAATAGTTACAAGGATTTATAAAGAATTAAACTACTTAAGTGCACTCCAAACCTTGACACAGTATCCTATTTATTTGAAGAATTTTTCTATATAGAAAGTACTTGGCTCAAACTCTGTTCTATAAGTAAATATAGTTTTCATTTTGGTTAAAAGTACCTAATTTCTAGAAAATAGCTATAGTTTATAAAATAATAAAAACATTGTAGTAAGCAGCAATCATAAAATAGAGTTTTATCCTATTAGCAGGTTTTCTTTTTTATTCTTCTTATAGATTAGTTTCATTTTTTTTTTGTTAGTTTTATTTTTCTCCTTATTTTCATTTTTTTCTTTTCCAATTTTAAAATTATTTTTAATTTTTTTGTTTTTTTCTTCTTTACAAGAAGATGTCTTCAGATTGGTAGTATCCTATTGTAGGGCAAAGATCAGACAAGTTGTAATTTCTAGTCCTAATTGGATTAGTATAACAGGTCACATTTAGATACTGTTTGGGTAGCTAGATAATGATAGACTTATAAGTTATATGATATTCTGTATTTATATATGTAGCTACAAATGGTTTAATAAAGTACTACTATGACTGCTTAAGAAAAAAAAAATTATTAAATTAATGTTTGTAGTTAAAAATTAGAATAAAATATAATATATAATAAAATTTAGCAAGAAATTTTTTTATTAGAAGCAAAAAAATGATTTTTTAAATAAAATTTTGAGTTATAAATATTTTTTTTAAAAAAAGTAATAAAAAAACAAAATTTAATTTTATATTTGATTTTTATATTACACTGCAGCTATATAATTTAATTGGTAAAAATTATTATGGTGTTAAATACTAGTAATGTATTTTAGTAAAACTGATAACAAATAATATAAGGTGAGTATGAGTATTATGACACATTACCAATTATGATGCAATTGCAATATCTCATGAACTGTCAATCAGAATTGTATGATTTTGGTACCAATCGATTTGTCTCAGTAAGATGAATTGATAGGTATCGGAATTGTGAGATTTCAATCACCAGATCATAAGATATTGCTGCTAAAGTGATATTTATTATTCTTTCTATATATGTATTTACAAGAAAAATTATATATATTTATTAAAAAGTTTTTTTTATTAAAAATTTAATATGCAATAGATAGAGAATGTTCTCCAAGCATTTAGTCAATCAGTTAGAACAGGTCTAAAAACAAATTTTAATTAGCGAAAAGAAAAAAAGGTTAACAAAGCAAATGTGTTTAATCATTGCATCAGAATTAAATTTAGTAGAAGATTATTTAACTGTATAGATAACCTGGGTATGTTGCATTCTACTGATTATAGCTGTTATCATTATTCTTGGGACACCTTATTATAAATTAACTAAATGATTATTCTGCTGATTTGATAAATTATTGGTTTCGGCATTATCAATTTAAATGTTTATTATTTACAAAGATAGTCTAAAGCTTGGTGCTGATTGATTTGTAAATTAAATTCATGTGAAACTACAATATACATATATACTTACCTTGTTTTAAACCATCTTTGTAAACAATAAATGTTACATTGATGAATCAGTAAAATAATCATTCAGTTAATTCTTCACAAGATGTTTCAGAAATAATAATAACAGATATAAAGATTAAACTATACCTAGGAGATATATTGCTCAGCAGAAGAGTATAGTAATAGATGGATTTTTTGTTAAATATAAATTACTAATAAAAAACCCTGGGTCTTTTACATTCTACCAAATTCTTGACCCTGGTTTAGACCCAGATATAATGGGGGTTTATAGTATTTATCATTTCAATTACAAATAATAAAGGCCAAGATATCCTTTTTTTTTCAGATTTGCACTTATTGTTTGAAAATTTTCATTGATTAACTAGAAAAACAATTGTTCAAATATGACAAATTAGAACTGAAATTGTTGTTGATAATTTGGTTAATTCATTATTCAAAATTTTCAAATGTAATAATCATTAAATAGTAAAATAAAGGCCATTAAGGTTTAAATTTGAGGAATATTTGTGCCATTTTTAGTGAATGCAATCGATCTAATATGTAACAAATAAGCCACATTTGTTTGTATATAAATAAGTAAATAAGTATTTAAGCTGCTTTAAATTGGAATTTTATATGCATATTGCCTTTTACCCATAAATTTATTAAATTTTAAAAATTTACAATAAAAAAAAAGACATAAAATTGCACATTATGCTACTTAAAGATAAAACTATCTGAAATAATGCTATTGAGAAAGCCCTTAAGGCTATAAAAAACTTCTCAAATAATTCTAAAGCTCCAAGTGTAAGGAGTATTGCACAAGACTTTAATATTTTAAAATCAATCCTTAGATGTATCATTTGAAATGATGGTTCTCTTAAACATCCAGGTTCTAATAAAGTTTTAACTGATTATGAAGAAGAGCAACTGGTTGGTTATTGTTTAAACATGCAAAGACTTGGTTTCAGATTATTAAGGTCTGGTGTAAATCATTGTATGATGAACATTGTTTGTAGAGATGAATGCTCACATCCTTTTAATGAGAATGAACTAGGCCAAGTATAATAGAAATGGTTTCTAAAAGATCATCCTGAACTTTCATTTCATGTTCTACAGGCTCTAAATAAAGCATGTACCCAAAAAGCAAATCCTATTATAATTAATAACTATTTTAACAATATTCAAAAAATTCTTACTAAATATTTACTCATCCTCAATTATATCTGGAATATAGACAAGACAGGTTCTTTTTTCTTTTTTTTTTAAATTCAGGTCTTAAACCTAGGCAAGATTATATTTAATAATTATATATAAAATAGGTTTTATTATTGAGCCTAAACTTCAAAAAGTCATTGCAAAAAAAGGTGCACATTAGGTTTATCATGTTTCTTATAGCAGCAATCATGAACTCATCTCTGTATGCCCAACTATTTCAGCTGCCAGAACGTACATACCTCCATTAACAATATATAAGGGAAAGCAGATGATTCTAGCCTTTTAGACAGTGCTCTTGTTAGTACTGTTATGGGGTTTACCAATATGAAGTATATGCAGAAGAGCCTATTTAGAAAATACATAGAGCATTTTGTTAATTTTATGCCTTCTATTTGCCCTGTTTTATTAATTCTTGATGGACACAAAAGTTATATCAATTATATTTGTGTCAATTTTTGTTATGAAAATAACATTTTTCTCTACATCCTTCCACTACATACTACTTATATTCTACAATCTGCAGAGTTACCATTTGCTCAACTCAAAAAAACATATAACAGTAAATATGACAAATTCTTTACTAACAGTGACAAGCTAGTAACAAAACATGTTCGCTAAACTCTTTGAACAGGCCTATATTAAAACATACATCCCAACTGCTATATATAATGCTTTCAAGTTAACGAGAATATAGCCCTTTAATCTTGATGCCATTAGTCCTAGTCATTTGGAGCCTTTGATGGCAATACATAAATTCAACTTACCAAGTTCTGAACAACCCACTCACCTGCTTGTTATACTAACTTCTTCTTCTTTACCTAGTTACATTCTAAGTTACCTTAGCCTGATCTCTACAAATGAAGAACTATAGTCAAAGATAGATGCACTTAATAAAAGAGTTAAATTTTTGGAAACAAAACTAGAGCTCTTTAAAAATCCTAGTACTAGTCCTTTGTGGCTAGTGCTTAAGTACCCTTTGCACTATTATTCGAAGCAGATAGCAGATCTGGAGGTAGATAAAGAGCAGCCTGAAACTCAGCAACCTAAGAAAAAATGAAAAACTATACCCTTTGCTCAGCTTCTTACTAATAAAAAGTCCTTACATTCATTGAAAAAAGTGGAGGAGGAGGCAAAAAGAGTAGCCAACGAAAAAAAAAAAAAAAAGGCAGCTATTCAAAAACAAATTATATAGAAGATAAAAAAGGTGCAGAAACAAGAAATATACAGGCAAAAAAAAGAGGAAAAGGAATATTTGAAGATAGATCAACAGTGTATTAGAGAGGAAAAGCAGCTTAAAAAAAAAAAGTAATTAAAAAAAAGGATCTACCTGATTATTTATGTGTGCCATTTTTGATCATTATCTTGAAGATCCCAATTTTTGAAAGAATTTTTTGTATCTTATAAAAAGTTTTTTTTTTCTAATAAAAAAAAATTTTTTTTTAAAAAACTTATATTTCAAGTTAAAATACATCTACTTCAATATAATTTAATAAAAGTTTAAGGCAATTTAAAGAAGTTTTCTTATTGATATATTTAACTATACCATAATACCCATACTCACCTTATATAAAAAGAAAATAATAGCAAATAATATATATAAAAAAAACAACAAATATAATAGACAATATAAGTATACTTAATAATAATTTTTTAAATAAGAATTATAAACCTACTTTTTATTTTTTTATTTTTTTTTAGATAATCTTTTTGGTCTTTTAACTTTTATTAATGATTTTTTTTAGTAATATAATTCTATAATTTATTACAAAAAGAGTATACAATTAGTTATATATATAACTTTTTTATATTATTTATTTAAAGAGTCTGTCTAAAAGTTTTTTATATCTAATACTTTAACTTAAGTATTTCATTTTAAATTCTCTGAACCTGGAGAGTGTGGTGACTTAGTAAAGTAAATAAGTTGCCAATCCTTAAATAATAGGTTAGAAGTTCAAAATCTACTAATAGCAAAAATTTAAAAAACTATCTATGTTATATTGGTATTATGGAAGGTAAGCAGTATTATGACAACAGCATTCTGTTGATCAGATATCTGTAACATAGTTGCATCAGCATGACTGGCAGATCATGAGACATCTGCACAATATTAGAGTTATATAGAAGAATGCAAACTGGCATCAAGTAGTGCAAACCCAAGATAAGTTCTTGTGGCTATATAAATCTATGAATTGAGAAAACCAGAGCCCACTTGGGAAGACCTGAGTAGTGAAGTAGCACAGATTTTTGATAGTACTACTGTAAAGGCTAGATTTAAGAAATAAATACCAATGTGAAAGAAATCAGATAGACAAGAACTTTGAGTAAGAGGTATCACCAACCAGCTGTCAAAAGTCTTGAACTAGAGAAAAAGAATCTTAGGGACAGACCCTGAAGTACTAAAGACAGGTTATAGTCCTATTAGGCTATCTGAATTTGAAGTCTAAGGTCAGAAGCAAGATATACTATAAGTATTAAAAATATGCTATGAAGTTGATACTAGGATCTGGATAAACTTTACAAAGGCAAGCCTCCTATTAGCAAAGATTAAATATAAGTAGTTAGTTAGCAGAAGGCTCCTTGAAGCCTTACAGTCATGTGACATACTTTGAAATATATAACAGCTTGACAGATGTACAAACAAGAAGATCAGAATTAGGTTAAATAGCATCTAATTAGATGTACAGAAGCTTGTGCACTATTTGCTAGTATAATATAGAAGTAACCTTATACAAGTTATGTAAATATAATAGAATTCACAATAAAGACAATAGCTGCCAATAACTAATAGCTTTAATGAAAGCAAAAAAAAATAAAAAATTTATCTAAACTTGCAATCTGTATTAATATTACTAAATTATATTCAAATTATTATCTTAATCTTAGAACTATTTTATTCTTAAAACAACCTTTTAAAACCTTTCGTATATATTTTTATAGCTGATTTAGTATTACTATAGCAAAACCAATACTTGTAGTTAGAGGTGTGGTGACCTAGTAAAGTGGTCAGATTGTCAACCTTCCAAGTGGTAGGTTGGGTGTTCAAATCCCATCGATGGCGAAAATTTAGATAATCACCTATGTAATATTCGTATTATGACAACTGTTAATAATGATTGGGTTAGGATACCTGTAATGATGGTCACACCAGTATAACTGGCAGGTTATGGGGCATCTGTGTAAGTATAGCATTATACAGAAAAATGCAAACTGACAAATCAGCAGTGCAAACACTAGATAAGTTCTTGTGGCCGTATAAATTTGTTGAAATTGGGTAACAAGAAGTCCATTTGAGAAGACTCGAGTAAAGAGGTAGCTGGATCTTTGATGGCCCTACTGTAAAGGCTAGCCTGAAAAAACAGATACCAAGATCATAGTATCTGGTCATAGTAGCTGAACGGGCGAGAACCTTTGGGTTGGGAGACTCGGAAGTACCACCAATCAGGCTGCCAGAAAGAACTGAAAAAAAAAGATATCAGACCGATCTGATATACTGATAAACTAATTATAGTCCTACATAGGCTATCTAGATTGGGAGTTTGGTAAAAAGGCTGAACAAAAGGCAAAGGTATACTAAAATACTGGAGTTATGCTGTAAAGTAGATGCTGGGGTCTAAGTAAATTCTACAAGGGCATAGCAGTTTAATGGTTAGCCCTGACTGCAAGTGTTAGTTCTGCCATAGTGATACCTAGGTCAGCTGTAAAAATGGGTACAGAAGGCTCTGAGGGGTTTACCTCAAGGATAAATTAGTCCTAAGGTTGAGAACGATGATCTGGTACATCTGAGATAACCAGTAATGTTAATACAGATTACAGGTTCAGAGAGTTTAAAGTAGAACACCCAAGCAGGGGTGTTAGGTATGGCAATTGGTGAGAAACCTTTAGGCGGACTTTTTAAATAGGTAATATAGAAAAGTTACATGTGTAGCCAATTGTATGCTCTCCTGTAGTGGTTCATCGAACCACAATACCAATAAGTGATTAATAAAAGTCAAAAGACCAAAGAAGTCACCTTAATACCCAAAAAAAAAATATATATATATATATATAATAGATATAATATATATAATATATTGTATATAAAAGATATTGTGTTCTGGATATTATTTTAGTTCTAATTTAATTGCCAACAAATACACTATTTTTATTTTTATAAACTTTGCTATCAAACTACTCTGTTATATTAATCCTGATAAAACTCTTAAGCTATATGTTAACTTTCTTAACAGTATATACTTTATAACTATATAATACTCTTTAAATATTCTAACTTCTTTTTTATTAACAATCAACTTATAACAATTACCTTGTATCTTTTAACTAGACCAAGTCTACAGTTTAGTATTAACTCTAATAACAATTTATTTACTATTTTATTCTATATTAATAGTTCTATTATTGATTTTGTTATCTTCTAATACTTCATAATTATAAATTAGGTTCAAGTAGATAACTCTGCAACTTTTTACTTATTTTAGATACAAATTAAACTTTGATCATGCTTCTTTAAAGCTAAAATTTTTACTATCTTTTTAGCAATCATTATTGCTCCTAGGAACTGTTTTGTTTATATCTTTATTGACTCATAATAGTAATTTGTAAATATTATCTAAACTTTCTTATACTTATATTCTATACTTTTTTATTTGGTACTCTTTCATTAACTTTATTAAATTATATAATATTTAGCTTACTTTTTATAAAATTAATACATATCAAAATGATCTATTTAATCATTTCACTGATCAACTTGATCACAATTACTAAATACTACCTTTTTTAATATTCTTAACTAATAATCCTTATAATCTTGTCTATATTCTATTTATTGATCAACTTCTTATTAAAATCTTTATTCAACTTTTATTTATATTATTTGTCAAGCTTAACATTATTTTCAATAATAGTCTACTATAACATTTGATATTAACTAAAAGCTACTTGACTCTATATTAATAACAATCAAAAAATCTCTAATTTTGCTTATAACTTTCATTCTTTTATTTTTAAAATCTTTTATATTAAAATTTTTCTAAATAAACTACCTGTTCCTCATGCTTTTCACAAATGTAACCCCTTATATTCTTTTTTTTGTCATTAATGTAGTCAAACTAGTTCTTCACTACACCGAGTTACTGCTCTTCTACCCAAACTATTTATCATTTAGTCTCTAATTCTTTTAATTGCATTTTAAATAAACAGTTCTTAACATGTCTACCAATCTTGTTTCTGACTTGTATAAAAAAATTCTTACACTTAACAGTTTCAAACTGTACAACTTTTTATATATGCTATCTCTTTAACTAGTTTAGTTTTTACTAATCTCATTTCTACTATTGATAATACTTCTATTTCTTATTATACTACTACTATTCTTTTTATCAAATTTCTTTTTTATTTTAAATTTTTTTTTAATATTAATGATGAGGCCATGTCTTTATCTTTATTGAATATTTAATTGAGATTTTATATAAAGTACAATTTTATTTTTAAAATATTATAGAAAGAATAGAAGCTCAGACTAATTTATCTGCAACCTAAACCAACTAAAATGGCCAAGACTTATCTAAATTTGAGTGTTAGTAATTATGTACATATAATTAGTTTGATATTTAATTCATTGAATATACCAGGAGTTTATTTTTGAACTAATAAAATTGATTGAAAAAGAATGTAATAAAAGTGAGGCAGCATTTAAAAGTGTGTTATATTCAGGAGTTTGAACTGTAGATCTTGAGATACAATATAGAATCCAGATTTTATAATAAATTTGTTGGTTAAAATAAAATAAAAACTTAATAACAAGTGTTGTAGCTACTTTTTTAGATAACAACTTGTAATAATGTTAATAAGTTCATTTGATATTAGACCTGTTAGAGTTGAAAAGATTGAGAATAAATTTGATATACTGTGCATAGTCATACTACTCAACAGCTTGATTTGGGTATGTAAATTGTTAAAGTATTTGAAGTAGTATTGAATGTTTTAGTATTTAAAATATGTTGTAATGAAATGTCTATAAGGCTGTATAGCAATTGGTTAGATGGACAGGTTGTCCAGTAAAGGCAAAAACTGATTTAATGACATTGGTGACAGATAGATGAGTATGAGTAATAACATTGATATAAAATGTGTAGAATGAAAGATCATTTAGTAGAATTTTAATTCTAAAGGATTTAAGAGTAGAGAACTGAAAGCTGTACAAGAAGTTTGAGATTTTTTGATTGTTGTTAATATATAGCCAGGTAGCTTGCTAATTAACTTGATTAAGGATTTTATGTTATTTTTTGAAAACAGTTTTGTGTAATTTATAGTACATAAATATGTACATAACATATTGTACAAATATTG